AAAAGAATAGAAAATGGAATAGAATAGAATGGAATAGAATAGAAAATAGAATAGAATAGAATAGAAAATAGAATAGAATAGAATAGAAAATAGAATAGAAAATAGAATAGAATATAGAAAATAGAATGGAAAGGAATAGGACAGAATAGAATAGAATAATAGAATAGAAAATACAAAATAGAACAGAATAGAATAGAAAGGAATGGAATAGAAGAGAAGAGAAAAGGGAAAAGGGAAAAGGGAAAAGGGAAAAGGGAAAAGGGAAAAGAGAAAAGAAAAGAATAGAAAATGGAATAGAATAGAAAAGAGAAAAGAATAGAATAAAATATAGAATATAGAAAAAAGAAAATAGAAAAGAATAGAAAATAGACAATAGAATAGAATTCTGCCCAGTTTGGTGAACTGATTAATGCCATCGCTGGCTGGCCCTGCCCCCATCCATTTTGGGCAGGGGTTTTTTTTTGTTTTGTTTTTTGTTTTTGCTGTTTTGGGGCAGTTTTCAGCCCTTTTCTCGGATGTTTTTCGGGCCGTTTTCCACACTGTTTTCCAGCCCAAAAACACGTGCCAAAAACATGGCCTGAAAAACAGCAAAAAAGGCAGGGGCAGGGCCAGCCAGTGGTGGGATTATTCCAAACCAGTCAGAATTGCTGAATCCCACCTTTGCCTTTGAGCCAAGAGGCCGGGAGGCAGGGCTGTGTATGATAAGTGACGTTTACTTGGCTGCACCCATCCAGCCAGTCACATGACCAACCAGCTACACCTACCCAGCCAGAGAACCAGTTGTTAAATTATTTAAATCCCACCACTGGGTTGGTGGTTGGGCAAAACAATCTCATATCAGTCTTACCTTTATGGCTTTGTTCAGTTTTTCAGCAAAGAAGGCAGGGGCATTATTTGCACACTTCACTATAAAAAGAGAGGAAAAACAGAATTGAACATAAGCCCTTTATATTATCTGGCTATATTTTTGCACAGGATTGAATATCTGGTTAAATTATTTAAGCATTTGCAAAATCATCCCACAGATTAAATGCATGAACAAGAAGTGGGAAGTACATCTAACAATTAAATCTGTAGCTAAATGAAATATTAACCCGAGGGCTCGTACTTGATTACAATCATTTACACGGTTTCCTTATTACAATCCTCTTGCGCATCATTTTTATATTTACATTTGCAGAGTGGTTTGAGCAAATAAAGAGCAAAAGCATCTATCAAAATGCAATCGGCCACCTCCTTTTTGGAAATTACATTTTGGAGAGGGGCGAGTGTAGAAATGTATCCTCCTCTTTCGCTGCTGTACGTGGTTCAAGATTAAATCTACAGTTTGCTATTCCTCCCCAAAACGCTCAAAATAAGAGCTGGTAAGGACAAAAGATTTCTAAACAGACCTCGGTGGTAGGGTTAGAAATCTATTTTGCGTTACGAAGTTCCCAATTTTGGGTGGAATCCAAGGCTTTGGCGGAAATAGGGAAAGTGGCATTCACTTCTTCTTCCACTGTATTTATATACAGCAGTGGCGGCATTTTTGTCGGGTGCCAAAAACGTGAGCGCATGTGTGCGATAGCACGTGCATGCTTGCATCCATAATGCAAAGCGCCCCCCACATGCACATATGCACACAACCCTCCCATGCTCCTCCCCCTCACATGCGCCGCACTTCCTGTGCACTGCTTGCCACCAAGCTGAGCTTAGTATTTCCTCCAAGAGGCAGGGAGGCTGTTTTCACCCTCCTCAGGCTCCAAGAAAGCCTCCAGAGACTAGGGAGGGTGAAAAACAGGCCTACCAGAAGTTCAGAAACAGATCGTTTCCAGCTTACGGAGGGCCTCCGGTGGGGATCCATTTTCGCTCTTCCCAGGCTCCAGGAAAGCCTACGGAGCCTGGGGAGGGTGAAAAAAACTTCCCTGGCCCGCCGGAGAGGCCAAAAATTAGCTGGCAGCATGCGCATGTGCCTTGGAGCTGACATCGGGCAACTGCTTCCATGCCTACAAAGATGACTCCACGTGCCACGTGCCGCCGTGTGTGTGTGTGTGTGTGTGTGTGTAAATGGCTGGATGATAGATGCAGAATTACAGTATAAGAACTAAGTCTTATCTACAATAAATAGGATAACACTGTAAATATCTGCAAATATTATTACATTCTATAGAGCTTATGTAAATATGAATTATATAAATGATACCGATACGGTAACGCTGTAACATATAACACACATATACAATACACCAGTGGTGTGTTCCGGATCCCGTTGCAACCGGTACGGTGCAATGGAGCACGGCGACTATCACATGAATGCACGGAGCACGCGCATGCATCCTTACCTCCTGCAATGCTCTGCGACGCCTCTGCGATGCTCCAGCTGCTCGGCGGAGCATCGCGCAGGCGACGTACGCTCCATGCATGGAAGCGCCTAAGAGCTCAAATACAGGTAAGGATAGCAGGCGGGCGGGCGGGCCCTCCAAAGCACCGTATCTGAATGGTATCCGGTGCTCCCGGCGGGCACTGGTATGCCTGTACCGAGGCGTACCACCTGCAACCCACCACTGCAATACACATATAACATACAGACACACACACAGACATATGGTATCTCTATATATATCTAAAAATCTATATCTATTATATGCATTGTATATATGGAAAGAGATCAACCCGCCATGAGATTTAGAAAATTCAAAGAATAGTGTATAAATATGGACACACTCGCAAGATCATCGCACGCTTCCCTTACCTACGGCCAGAAGCAGCTGGGCAAAGTCGCCCGATGTTTCGTTAAGCACAGTATCCTCCATCCGGTGTCCACTAAGTTTTTGGTACTCCTGAAATGCTTTAAGAAAGGACAAAAGGAGAACAATGTCAGAGGCGTAAGCTGCACGTACTTTAAGATGCGTGAACAAAAATCTGAGGCATTTTTACTTCTCCGTCTACAAACCATTGCTCCTTTACAATATATAATTTGTCACAGCCTGAAACTCTACTTTCCATGCTATTTTTTGGAAAGTTTGTTAAAATATTCATGACTGGGAGAGACATGGGAACAAGGTCAACCAATGAATAGGCGTAGCAACTAAGTCAGTCAATGGGAGCTTAAACAGATCTGAGTCTGTGCAGAGAATTGAAACAGAAATTTAAGCAGCTTGCTGCTCTGAGAAGTAAACTAGCAGTCCATCTGGGTTTGTCTGCTGAAATGAAACTAACTGCTTGTGTTTGCCTGTAACTCTCCTGCCTTGTGTTTACTTGGAAGAACCACCTGTTGGTATTGTACATTTATTCATCTATTCT